TAAAGGGGGCCTATAGGAAAGATGGGGACAATCTTTTTAGTAGGGACAGCTGTGACAGGACAAGGGGTAATGGTTTTAAACTAAACCAGGGTAGGTTTAGACTGAATATAAGGAAGAAATTCCTTAAGATAAGGGTGGTGAAACACTGGAACAGGTTGCCCAGAGAGGTAGTGGAGGCCCCATCCCTGGAAACATTCAAGGCCAGGTTGGACGGGGCTCTGAGCAACCCAATCCTGTCCCTGCTCACTGCAGGGGGTTTGGACTAGATGAACTCTGAAGGTCCCTTCCCACCCAAAACATTCTATGATTCTGTGATTCTAAGGTGAGGATGAAAACAGCCTTGCCTTCCAACAGCAGGTGAGACCTTAGTATTTGATACATGCTACATCTGGTTTAAAACTAGCCTATTTTATTTTATTTTATTTTACTTTTGTGATCCTCTCATTCATATTTACCGATGACACATCATCCACAAAACCCTCTGCTTTCCTCTGCACACTTCATTATCATTCTAAAGACCTGTAGCCCATGGCTGGGGCTGTTATACTGGGCTAGCAGCGATGATGGAAACTGCAGTGGTGCTGATCTCTCTGCATCTTCAACAGGAGGTGTATGTCCATCTCTGGTTTTCACCACGGTGGGCAGACAAGGACAGTGGCCTTCCCGGGCGGCTGCATTTCTCCTTTGCGCCAGGGAAGTCTGCTGAGAAGGTATTTGCTAGTGCAGCATATGAGTCTTTCGGACCCTGGAAGAGAGGGGTAGGAAGGTGTTATTAATTTAGTCAACGCTGCGTGGCTTGCAGAAACACTGTCAGCTTCTGCCTACACACATCTCACCTCCTATTGTTAAGGAAATTACAGCTGCTGAAAGAGATGAAAAAGTAACACATTTCTTTTCTAGGTTTTATAGTAATAAGGCAAATCCAATTTCTTCTTGACTCTGTAGCGTGGGCCTGCTTTTTGGACTGGGGTCTTCTGGGGTAGCGCTGGAGACATGATTCCCTGAGTAGGTGCTATCAGATATGCAAAGGTGTGCGAGTCTATTTTAACAGCTCTGAGCGCAAGGACCACGTTTGTCTGGGTAAAGCTCTCATGCAAGGGGTTCGGACTTTCCAGGACTAATTAACATCTAGTTAGCACTTTCCTATTTCTCACTGGTGGAAGACCAGCACCTTCAAAGCTGTGGAGAGGTTAAGCAAAAATTTCAGAAGAACTTTCTGAAGCTATCTACGTGTTCACAGTCACCCTAGAATTGTTAGATGACTTATTGTCCACTGAAAAAGAAGTTGCAGACATCTGCTGAAAATAAAACATGCGGTAGGTGGCATAGGCACCCATAACATTATGATTTGTCTCAGGGGTTTCCAGGCGTAGAGAGGTGTGAGAGCTTTTTTCACCATCTCCACTTCTCTCACAGGTTTTGCTTTCGTTTCTGCTTCTCATAGGTTCCCACTCTGCCATTGCACATAAATTCTACCCAGGCTCCTCGCTCAGCCCCCTCCCATTTCCTATTTCCCACTAAACCCCCCTGTGTCAAAACACTCGCTTTGACTCCGCTGTCTCCTTAACGTTATACTTGTGTGTTTATTCCTTCTGCATAAGGGCTGTTTTGTCAAAATGGCCTTTTTATTGGAGATTTATACTTGCTGACTTCATACCTTGCCCGTGTTCTTTCGCAACTGAGGCTGGACACAAGAAATCAGAGCGAAATGTCTGTCTTCATCCATGCTAAAACTGCCACGCAAGAGCTGCGCTGGTGCACCCCGGAGCTGGCTCCCCGAGAAAGAGCGAGCTTACAGTCTGCACGAGACCTGAAGAACTCCAACAGAATATTGTAAAGACGGTTTCCTCTGAAGGCTGTATTGTTTCAATAGCACACTTCTTCCAATCCTCCTTTCCTGTTTTTCCATTCATGCGAACACAGGGTATTTTAAGAGTCCATCTGCTCATGTTACTTATTCCTCACTTCAAGTCATAATCCTCTGCGATACTACAGTTAATTGCTCTGCCTATGATTATATTGCATCACAAAGGGGATTATGATTTTCAACCCTATCTGTACTGGAGTAATTTCAAAATATTTCTACTGTTACCAGCTCCGGCTGAACTTCAATGGCTTTTCCAATTCTGAGGACATTTATCATGTATCCGGCCATTCTGATGCTGTTCTTAAATAGATATAAGCGCCTACACCGCATTTTACGCTAGTTGTAACTAGATTCATTTGGATCTTGCACCTTTGTGGCGTAGTTCAGGCCTGCTTTTGGTCACGTTATTTCCATTCACAGCAGCAAGGTCTACTATAGATAGGGGGGGATTTTAAGCCATCTCCGAGCAAGGGTAAATCCCATTCTGCAAACGTCGGTAGGTGAAGCATCTCCATCAGGATTGCACAGCGGCTCTTGGTTGTTTTATCACCCTTTCTGCGTAAAACTGTCCCTCCTTTACGAACAGGACACGGGACAGGAGAAGATGGTCCAAGCCTTGCTAGCAGCCCTCTGCTCCCTGAGGAGTTTGATGTTTGCAAATGCTCCACTTGGCCAAGAGCTGCTCGGCAGAAATGGTTGCAAAAACAAAATAAAACAAACAAAAAAAAAGGGGGG